CTCACTCCCTCCAAAGACAAAGAACAGGGTGGATGCTTGGGAGGTGGATCTAAATGCCATCTTGAGTGAAAGCGCCGGTTTACCGTACGGAAGGGAGCCTTCCTTTCTGTAACGCAGTGTGATGTCCCAGGGGGCCAGTCCCCTGACTTGTTACCCCCACAGCTCCCTAGAGAAGCGGACAGAGGATTCTGTCAGATTCTAAGAGGCACTCAGGAATTGTTTTCAGTGTGCTCAGCTGTGGGGTGTGAGTTGTCGGGGGAGAGGACGGGGGGGGGGCAGTCCGGAGAGAAGAAGCCTGTTCCCTGGGAGCTGACGCAACTGGCCTGTCATTTTCCAACAACAGCGCTGGGGAGCCCAGGGGGCTCTGATGAGGTTCGGGGGCAAATGCTGGGGTCCCGGGTGGAGACGCAGCTTGGGCTCCAGAGGGAGAACCTGCTCCTACCTGATACAGATGGTGGGCTTCAAAGACTTTTTGGATGGTGGCGGTGGGGGCGGGGATGAGAGAGGTCAGTGGGTTAAATAACACTATAGACGCTAGACCACTAACCTGATGACGTGAGTTCCGGAATCCTGCGGGCCTTCCCCAGAGGCTGGGACCAGCACACGGGCGGGAGCGGCTGAGCGCGCCTCACCATTGGACGCTTCGCTTCCCGCCCCCCCGTGGCGTGCGCGCGCACCCTCCTAGGGGCCGCTCTCGGAAGCCCGGCCCCCACCGCTGTTCTGGCCGCGTGGCGGGCTACTGGCTTCCGGTCACGTCTTGAGAGAGCGGCGGATCTAAGACCCACAGCGGGCAGCCGGGCTCCCAGGCCTTGCCCCTGTGCACTGCGGGGAGCCAGCCTATTCCTTAACCAAAAGCCCCGTGTACTTTGACCTGGGAGGAGCGGACAGAGTCATTCTCGCTCTCCAGGTTTACACTGACACGCAGTTCTGATAAAACGTCAACGTAGGTCATGCCAGGTGGTCATGACAGAGCACTGAGCAACATGTCAGACTGCTGTCACATTTCTCAGGAAGCCTTAGTTTTCATCCTCCCCTTAAAATAACCTAGCAAACTACAATGTTAAAAGAGCTAATAAAATACCCACATTTTAAGAAGAAAAAAAAAAAACAAAAACCACACGAATGAATTAATAGTTCAATTGAATTAATTGCTCCTGGTTTGGTATCGTGCTAAGAGTTTTTTGGGAGGTGGAGGGGGAATCTGTCATGATCGTCACCTGAGACTATTTTCTATCACCTCGTGTAGATGAACTGGATGCAAAGGCATGGTGCCAACTAGTAAAGGGGTTCCTGGATGGACCCCAGTCCACAGGAAGACAATTTTGGATATATGCCCGAGAAAAGAACTAACTAGGCACCTATCAATGAATTATACCACCCCACCCCAAGCTGCTCCATTATCTCACATCTGGATCGCTACAACTGATTCCCAGACCATGGCGCCACTGCAACCTTGCCTTCCTAGGACCCATTCTCCACCTACAGCCAAAGTGATCTTGATAAAACACAACCAGGTCATGTAATTGCACTGCTCAGAGCTCTCCAAAGGCCCTCCCAGATCAATACACACCTGGCCTACGAGGCCAGGGAGGTCTGGCCCTGAATGCTTTCTCTAACCCCCACAGCAACTGTTAGCTGGCTGGGCGCTATTCACTATCTACACCGGCCTTCTCTGTTAAAACTTAGGTTTCCTATAGTTCAATTGAAATTCAAGTGGAGGGGCACATGGGTGGCTTAGGTTTCCTATAGTTCAATTGAAATTCAAGTGGAGGGGCCCATGGGTAGCTTAAGCGGTTAAGCCTCTGCCTTCGGCTCAGGTCATGATCTCAGGGTCCTGGGATTGAGCCTCTTGGTGGGCTCCCTGCTCAGTGGGAAGTCTGCTTGCTTCTCCCCACCTCTCTCTCTCTCAAATAAATATATAAAATCTAAAAAAAAAAAAAGAAATTCAAATGGAAGCCATTATGAACAGCAAAAAAACCCAAACCCCAAACCAAAAACAACCAAAACCAAAAACCAAAAGGTAAACTTAAGTGTAATATTTTTAGAGAGAATCATTAAGATACTCAAGATAAGGTTAGACTTTACATTATAATGGGCAGTCTCATGTAATTTTAAATATATATTCTTCTAATTTTTCCTTCTTAAAGAACTCTGAAGTTAATTTTTTATGATAAAATTATAGCTACAAGAAAATGAACTTACGACCCTTAAGGAATTGGACTGTGACACCAAAAGATTTTCTCAAGGATTCAATCTCAAAAAGTCCTAGATTTAGTAAATTTGTGTTATGTTTACTATTAAGATAATTGATTTAGCTCTATTTTTATGACTTTTACAGTAATATACATTTTCTTTAAATAAAAGTTAATTTTTTCCAAAAGTATCAAGTGTTATTAGTATATAAGTGAGAGATCTGTCTTAATATCTTTTTCAGTGAGGGTCATCAAAATGTAAATTCAAGAACTATTCGATTTGCTGATATAAGTGATGAATATTTCAGGGCACGATGGAATAAATATTACTGAAAATTGTGTGCACATTAAAATAAAAATAGCATTTTCAGAAAGAAAGTTATATATTTAGGTATTAATTTCCTTATTTATACAAGTGTTGACTCTATTATAAACATAATCACATTGGACACAGCACAGGCACATAAGACAACAGAATGCTAGGCTTAAAATCTACCAAAAAGAAAAAAAAAGCATTATCTCTGAAAGAGCATAACTGCATTTGTGTCTGCTGGGTCCTAATTCTCTTTTATTTTATGGATAATGAATTATGGTTTCTGATAATCATTTTTAAGTAGCCTTAACACATCTATGTAAAAATACGTGTGTTCAAAGGACATGGTTTCTCAAATTTTATTTTTTTGTTAAAAATATTCATGATTTAGGGGCGCCTGGGTGGCTCAGTCGTTAAGCGTCTGCCTTCGGCTCAGGTCATGATCCCAGGCTCCTGGGATCGAGCCCCGCATCGGGCTCCCTGCTCAGCGGGAAGCCTGCTTCTCCCTCTCCCACTCGCCCTGCTTGTGTTCCCTCTCTCGCTGTGTCTCTGTCAAATAAATAAATAAAATCTTTTATAAAAAAAAATATTCATGATTTAGCTCAAAAAACACTTTCACAAGTTAGGTGCTTTAGATCCTTTAGAATCCACCTGGGAATGACTGATTGTTTCTGAACTTGGGGTTGAGTATGAAATCCCTCATTGTGTGTGAGTCTATCATATGAAGAGAGAAGATTTGTGATGAACACATCTCAATTCTAATTTCTCATTACATGGCAGGAATAACTTTTTCCCCTAAATCAGAACCATATATGAGATGTTTTATGATTACTTTCAGGCAATTATGACAGGACAAATTTGAGAATCTAAGTATGTGTCTCTACATATGTAAATCTAAAGTTGAATGGGGGGGCGCTGGGTGGCTCAGTCCTTAAGCATCTGCCTTCGGCTCAGGTCGTGATCCCAGGGTCCTGGGATTGGGGCCCCTCATCCAGCTCCCTGCTCGGTGGGAAGCCTGCTTCTCCCTCTCCCACTCCCCCTGCTTATGTTCCTGCTCTGGCTGTCTCTCTCTGTCAAATAAATAAATAAAATCTTTAAAAAAAAAAAAAAGTTGAATGGGAATGCCACCCCTGATTTGAGCTAGGACCTTGTAGTTTGGGGTGACTTCTTCCATATGTACAATGTCACACAGTACTGGAGGACATCCTATAGCTGTAGCTGGCTGAATCACTGCTCTAGTCCTACCCCCTACACCCCTGCCCTATCATCTCCTTTACCCCTCCAAGCCATCCAGTTAAAGACACAATTCAGTAAAAAAGCGTGCCCGCTGTGCCAGACACCCCAGCCCCCTTTTCTAGCCAGTTTGCCACCTCTAACTCCGTCCTGTTAGAAATTCTAGAGCTCTCAGGGGCTACACTGGAATGCTTATCAGATGCAAAAATTACAGGAAAGGATGCAAATAAAAGCTTTCAAAAAGGGTCATTCTTATCTGCCATCCTGCTACAAAGCTTCCACAACAAGGGTGCTCTGCTGCAGAGTCAGGGTAGGGGTGAGCAGGTGCACACTGGCCCAGACTTCAGTCAGAGCAGGACAGGACCTGTCTATTTTACACACACTGACTTCTGTATCACCTTCCTTTCGAAGAGGGGATTGTGAGAAAGAAAAACGTCTTAAGAGCACTGTGCCAGGTACCGAAACCTTTAAAATTCTGTTACTGTTGGTATACGTACACACACACACACACACACACACACACACACAAGCTCTTTTGGTACAACTGTAAGAAAAATGACTTTCTGAGAAATCTAACAAATATATTTTCCTTTGACACATGCTTAATCAAATGACCAAATAACAATGCTTTAAAGAAATGTATATCTACCAAACAAGAAAAAATTACTATTCATTTTACCCTTTCACATAAGCAATACTGCTACCCAAGGAATTAGGAAAGCGGCCATAAATACTGCAGATGTGAAGCAAACTACGTTTTTTTCCCATCATAGAATAAACATTCAGAAGTGATCCATGTTATTTACAGCATGCATTCTCTTCTCATTTGAGCTACAGGATGCACATCTTAAGAGTGAACTGAATTCTGTTCTACTATTCCCCCGGGAGCAGTCACTTACCATAAATATTTCTCTCTGCTCATGTCATTTCTATTCTTTTGTTATCTGGGAAACTGCTTAATTGTTAATTTAGAAATACATATAGGAAAAAGTACTATCAATATTTCCTAAAGGTAGGCTATTTTCCTGATTACCAATCTCACCAATACATTCATAAAAGCATTTCTTAAAATCCTATTGTCTTTAACATTTTTAACCAATGTTAATATTTTGGTATGAAGGAAAAAGCATTTCTCTCAGGCAGAGAGCTAGATTTTGAAGAGAGTCAAAGATAAAATAATACTAACATTGATTCTCAAGCAATCTCATTAAAAATGGTTCTCTCTTCCACCATTTAAAATATTTCAAGAAGGATTTACTTACCTGGGAATATTCAAAGTCGGTGATAGGAGCTATACTCTTGATATAGTCTGATCGAAATTGGTTTTCTGGGTTGGCCAGTGGAACTGGAGGTATGATAGTACTCATCGCTGAAACAATTGTCTAAAATGGAATGAAGAAAAAGATATATGGATAAATACAACATTTAGGTTCCTCTTATGACAACTAAAATACACAATTTCTGTCTATACAGTTTTAGAGAGCAGAGTATTTAACCTTTCTATTAACCAAACATTTAAAAAAATCCTTACCACAATAGCATCTTTAACATTTTTCCGGATGTCCAGAATTTTCTGTTTCTTTTCCCTATATTAAAAGAGAATTGTTATTAATTTAATTTATCTTTAGAAATGACTTGAATAAGCTGAATGGGATTTTAAACTTCCAGCTGCAGCATGGGGCTAGACTGGTTTTTCTAGAGGTCAACATCAACCCCCAAGACAACAGTTGCAAAGTTTTTAACTGGGAAAGGAAAACATACTTATTTTTCTAATTTGTACATTAAGCAAACTTGAATGCACACATTACAATGTGTAGTTTTAAACTACACAGGTTACACAAAGCATGGCAACGTTGTTAGGAGTACTGCATATAAAAACTATACAGCTACACTTGTAAATATATCTTACTTGACTTATCCATATGTTGATAGATATGAATTGAAATACAGGCAGACCAAGGATATAGAGATAAGTATATACTGACATATTGGTTAAGTGTGCTAAGTGCAGTACCAATAACACAGACCAATATCGCAAGAATATCTAATAAATCCTATTTTGTTAGGGAAGTTATTTTATTTTTTCATCTAGATGCTACCAAAAGAAGAATTTGCCTAAATATACCAAATTCAATAACACGCTTTTATCTCACTACCCCCCCCCCCCGCAAAGGTCTATTCAATGATCAAATTAATTATTCAGAGAAAGCACGTTTGGAAATGCTGGAGAGAAGTGAAAAAGTTTGCATGCAGTTTGGAAGCAAAAGCGAAATTGATCATTCCTTACTCAGGATTAAATCCATTGACATGCAGGATCCTCATTTGTTTGACGATAGTGCTCTTCCCAGACTCACCAGCCCCTGCAAACAAATAAAAAGAATGCTGTGGTCCGTGGCCCAATACCGTTGCCATTTCTCCTGCGAACCCAGACAGCAATTACCCTACCCCAGCGTAGGCATTTTCCAGTACACTCCAGCTCGCGACTGGAGGAGCGGGTCCCGGTGGCTGGCGGCGGTGAGCGCGGCCCCCGCCCGGCCCTGCCCTGCCCGCCGGGCCCCCGCGCTCGCTGCGCTCGGGGCTGTGCGCTCCGCTCGGGCCGGGAGCCGCCGCGCGCCCTCCGGCCTTACCCAGTAGCAGCAGGCGGTGAGTCGCTTTGTAAGCCAGACGCTCCTTCTGCAACTGCTTCTCGATCTTCTTGTTGGCCTCGCGTCGTTCTTTTTCATCGACGCCCTGGTCTTCTGCCGTCTTGCTGTTGCCCAGACACCCCATGCCTGCCCGCTTGGATGGACGTCAGGCAGAGTTAGGTATTTGCACAAAAAGCAACAGAGAGTTGTAGATGTGTGTGGATCCTGCGACAGCTTCTCTTCCTTGCCGCTGAAAGAGATGCTCTGGTCTCTCGGTGTTTGCCGATCAGAACAGGCGTTCCTTCTCCCTCCCTCTGCCCTCCGCAAACTCCCAACTAAAAAGGATGCGAGGAAGACGCGCGGAGCCAAATAAATGCTTTTAAAAGATACAGGTTTAGAATTTTCTGCTGGACAAACCGCACAGAATGAAGGGAGACCGGGCTCTGCTGGAGCCAGCCAGGGTGGCGCTGCGCCCGGCGCTCGCCCCTCGTCCCGCGCCCCCACCGCCCGCCGCGCTTAGCCCGGCTCAGCCCCGCCCCCGCCTGCGCGGCCGGGGAAGCGCCCTGCGGGAGCGCGACACTGTCCCGGGGCCGCCGCGTGCTGGCCCACAGCGGCGCGGCGGGACGGAGCGCGCCGCCGGCCCCCTCCCGGCGACCGTGGGCACCTGCCGGCCCGCTCGCGCCCCGCTGCCTCCGCCGTCGGACGCGCGCCCCCTCCCGGTTCCGAGCGACCCCCCGGCCTCCGCGCGGTAGGGAAGGGGAGCTGGCCTGCTCGCGGGGATCTCGCTGGGGCACTAGCGCTATCGGTGCTGGAGGGGTCGGGAGCTGACCTCTCCGAGCCCGGCCCGCGGGAGGCTCACCCGCGCGGGGTCCGCACCTCGGCAGCGTGCCTCTCTCGCACCCCGAGCCCGGGAGACTGGGTCTGGGCGTGCGCTCCCCGCCGATGCCTCGGACGCCTCCCTGCTCCCAGGCAGGCGAGGACTCGCGCAGGATCATGCATATTCTATCAGGGAGGAGGATCTGTAAGAGGCTCACCAGTCACACCGCCTTTGTTCCGTTCATTTTCTAGACTATTCCAGCGCACCCACGCCGCCGCCTCCCTTAGCCTCTTGTCTTTATCTCCAGCCCCCGTTTCTCCTTCGCAGTTCTCTGAACAGCTCTACTACTTTCCTAGGAGACACTATGGCTTCGAACTTTGGCTTGGAGCCGTGGAACCGAAGAGGGTCGAGACCGGTCTGCGTTCTCACTCACGGGGCTGAGTGCGAGTTCCCCCGGTTACTGCTACCACCGGCCCGCAGAGACGGTCCGTCCGCGGCTGCTCTGCACTCGCATTCCTGGACTTGCGGGAAGGTCGGCAAAAGAGGCCACCCGGCCTAGAAGTCAGGGACGGAGATCACTTCCTCGTGCGGCGCTGTTGTGGCACGGTCATGGTCTCAGGCTCTGGGGGCCCGAGGCCCTGCACACCGATTCTTCTACGTGGCCTTGTTCATCTGTCTTCAAGTGCCTCAGTTTCCTCCCAACCCACGTTTCTCTCACATTCAGCCAGGCCTGATCTTCTTTACAGAGAGCAAACAGCACCTGGCGGGGCTCCCCGCACTCTGCTGCCTCATTCCCTCTGTAGGCTGCACCCTGGGCACAGCGGGCCTCACTTGTCAATGTGTCTCACTCAAATCCACCAGCACCTCCTTACATCGCAGGCTCCTTGCTGGTGCCACCATCTCCCCCTCTTGCCCAGGGCTCCAAGAGTGAAAACGGGAATCTGACGCTGGCTTATCTTTCCTTACCTCTTGTTCACACCTCAGCTCCTGGAAGCCTGGCTTTGGCCCACCTCCCTGCACTGAGAATGTTCTCATTAGGGTCATCAGTGGCCTCCCAGGCACGAAACTTCATCCTTGAACTTTGGTCTTTACTTTCTTTGACCTCTCCATGGAGCTGGCGCTGACCCTCCCTTGGGACTGTCTTGTTCTTTGGCTTGCATCGCATGGTGGTTTTGATGGCCTGCTCAGCCTCCGGCTGGTGGAGGTACCTGGGACCCCACCCACCCTTTTGCCCCTGTGCACACACTCCTGGTGGGGCTGACTGCATCCTCCATCCTCTATGTGTGCAGCTCTAACTGTGGCCACATCACATCTCCAGCCTAGCTCACCCTCTTGTCCCCTGCCATCCCCAAGCATACCTCCACTTTCATCTCCCTGAGGTACATCCTCAGCTCTACCTGCCAAGGGCTGAGCTCATCCCCTACACCTGCCCCCACACCTCCAGCCTTTTCCTTTCTGTTCTCTCTCTGTGATAAGGGTCCCTGATTTTCCAAACCAGAACACGGGACTCATTCCTGACTCATTTTCCTTCCTGAAAACCCAAATAGTTACTGTGTCCCATGGAGTCAGTTTTCTAAATACCAAATATCTCTTCCACCCTGTCTTCCATTACCATGGTCTTAGATCACTAATCTAACGTGGATTTTGGCAATGGCCTCCTGCTTACTTACTCTAGTGGCCCATGTTGCCACAGTGACAGTACAGATCTGCCATGTCTATCCCCACCACTAACAAGGCCTCGACCATGATCCTTCAAGACTGGGTTGGAGTAAACTCTGTGGCCCCAGCTCTCAAGCATCTCCCTTTCCCAGCACTGCCCTGCCTCCCCTTCCACCCCCGTGGACTTCCTGAACACCCACTGGGTTCGCATGCTGCTCCTGCCTGGAATACCTGGAATATCTTCTTCACTTGGCCACCTCCTAATTATCCTTCTAGCCTCACTACTCCTTCCACATTCAGTGTTAGACCCCTTCCCCGTGTTTCATAGTCTCACCAGCTCCCTGCATTGTAATGGTTTATTTACAGCTTTTTCCAAAGTCGGCTAGAACACGGCCTCCATGAGGGCCGGGCCTGAGTCTGTCCTTTACACCTGCTGCACCTGTGTCTAGTCCAGTGCCTGGCCTGGAGGAGGTGCCCCATGGATCTTCGTTGAATGGATGAATGAATTCCTGAAAGCCAAAGATAACTCCTGCTCAAAGGGTGGGGTCTCATGAAAGGAATTTTGTCATCAGATTTTAAGTTCAGGAAGCACTTGTCCAGTTTGGTACAATACTGAAAATATTAATACTTTCTAAAAAACAAGAGCAATAAATTATTCTTCTTGACAGAGGCAGAAGCGAACATACAGTGCCATACCATAGGCTGAGCTAGGTTAAAGGTTCTAGTTTTGTGGAAGGGGACTGTTTATCACCACTGCCAGGCCTCACACTTTGAGTTAACACACATGTACACACATGGTCATATCAACCTGGCATGTACTGTGGGTAATGGGGGCAGTCAGGAGGCAAGAAAAGGTATGTAAAAATTGCATAGTACAGTGGGATGTTCATAAGGGTTAGTCAGTTTTCTTAATGCCAAGATTTTTTTAAAAGATTTTATTTACTAATTTGAGAGAGAGAGAGAGAGATATTGACAGAGATAGTGAGAGAGAGCACCAGCAGGGAGGAGAGGGAGAAGCAGGCTCCCCACCAAGCAGGGAGTCGGATGCGGGACTTGATCCCAGGATCCTGGCATCATGACCTGAGCCGAAGGCAGATGCTTAACCAACTGAGCCAGCCACCCAGGCACTTCTAATGCCAAGATTTTTATAAACAGTTGGAAGAAAAAGTTTCAAAACAAATCCCATGAAAACTTATAAAGGGAGAATTAAGCCAGACCCCAAAGCTACACTTTTAAGACAGCCTGATAATTCAGTTACCCTAAAAATACAGCAAAAAGTTTCCACTTGTTCAGATCTAGGATTTAAGGGTGTCAAAAAAAAAAAAAGAAAAAAGAAAATGGGCCCCAAATCGAGTTGCTTATGCTAATCCCACATCACAAAACCGATAATCACAGTTTTGAGTTTCCTAGAAATGAAATATATTTTTTAAAGATTTAATTTATTTATTTGACAGAGATAAAGACATAGCGAGAGAGGGAACACAAGCAGGGGGAGTGGGAGAGGGAGAAGCAGGCTTCCTGTGGAGCAGGGAGACCGATGTGGGGCTCGACCCCAGGACCCTGGGATCATGACCTGAGCCGAAGGCAGACGCTTAACGGCTGAGCCACCCAGGCGCCCCTAGAAATGAAATCTTAAACCTGTCAATCTGGAATCGCCTGATGAGCACAAGTTAGGTAATCTGCTTCATACACCCCTGTTATCCCTTAAGGAAAAGTAACCTTGCAATAATCAACCCGATTTTTAACCTAGTATAATTTCCTTGTTTCTGCTCCCTGCTGGTTATGAAAGCCTTTCATTTTGTGCAACTTGGAGCTCCTTTCTTTCAGTTAGATGGGATGCTGCCTGATTTGAATCAAGTTTTGCTCAAATAAACTCTTAAAAATTTTAATATGCCCGAGTTTATCATTAAACGAGGTTAAAGATAAATTTTTATATTTGAATTCTAGTAAGATTTAGATGATCATATATGATGAATAATACACCCAAGAAGTTAGTATGTCAATACAATAATAATAATATGTTCAGTGTAAAACAGCCTCTCCTAGTTGTTCACTCATTGCGGGCACTGTGCTAGTCCTTCCCATGGAATAATTTCTGTAGCATTTGCAATAACCCTAAAAGGAACTATTGTCGCCATTACTTTATAGGAGCTTCGAGGGGCGAGTAAGGGGTGTATCTGGGATGTAAACCCTTGTATCCCAGCTGTAATAGCTGCACTACACGACCTAGAGGGTGCTCCACAGTACGCAGCTAAACATT